TACGATAATTTTATCATAATTGGTAATTGTTTTTGTATAATACAATTTAATTGCAATTAATTTTTCGGTACCCCTGCTTATTACAATGTACAACTTGATATTATTCACAATAAATCAATTTTTTTTTGCAATGAATTCTAATTTTACTTGTAAATTTACGTCTGTGTTATGTAGTAGAAATTCATAATTCAGTATTTTGATCTAAAAATAATTCAAGCATATTGCTTTGACAATTTAATGTATAGCATCGATTATGATTTCAAATATAACATAATAATAACATTTAACAGACTTTAAATATTCTATAGCAGATTCGCCATAGAACCAATACTATATGATTGCTATGCTAAATTTGTCATAGCAATATGCCCAGGTATTATTTCTGGATCCAATAAAATAAATATATATGAGTACAGTAAATGAGAGATAATGACAATAATAAATGCAGAAATAATCAGTTTACTTTGCAATTTTTTTGGTAATGCCACATTTCTTGCATCAACGTTGATGTTTAATTTTAACTCCTTAACTCTCATGTGCCTAAGTCTTTTAGTACCAAGGAGTCATCCCCTTCCACAATGTTTATTTGGATTTTTCAGTTTAGGTATCATAGAATTCTTGTTATTATCATCATCGATTTGTGAACTTTTGCCTGAATCTGACTGTTTACTAATATCTTCAACAAATTCTTGAAGAAGACTAATAAGTTGTTGCGATTTCAAATCACCTTGAAGCACCTTACTAAGGGCTTTTTTATAAATACTGTGCAACTCTCCATAAACTGCTTTTTGTTCAAGAATAGTTAAATTACCTTTACAGAAATCTTTTCCACCTTGATCAAAAGTGCACAAATATGTTACTATATTACTTAAATCCTGTGTTAATATGTTTTGATAATCTTCAAACTTATCTGCATACAAGAATAGCTTCTTTAAACTATCTTTATTTTTGCTGTACCATCAATTAATCTAACATAGAAATATGCATTCTTTGTAACTAACATCACTTGAAAAAAATGTTTACAAACTATTCCATGTTGAATTATAAAAAGACAAGAATAGAGGTGATCTCAATTTTGTAGCAAAACAACAAAGTACTTATTTTGCAACAAGTTTCCAACATTCACAGACCAAATTTTATTGATATTGTGTAAACCAACAAATTTGATCATTCTTTTTAATATCACTTGTAGGGCATCCTATTACAACATTGTTAATTCAATTTCATTAATATAACAAACCTAGTTCAAATTTAGCAAAAATTTTAGTTTATTTTAAAATTTTAATATATCCTTTATTTAATTAACAATATGTTTTTGCATTACCAACCAAAATTTATAAATTAATTAACTATTAAAATTAGTGTAATTTTAAAAAAATCAAATAATAAAAAAACTCAGTTTTGTATTTATAAAATTTTGTATATTAGCAAAGTTTTCTTGCAAAATTTTAATTTTCAAATCTAATAATAAACTAACCTCAATAAAATTAGATTGGTAATACTATAATCTTAATACAATATAGAAATTTTTGACTGTTATTTAATTAAACTAACTAAATTAAACTAGTTAGTTTTTTTCACTAGCTAATAACTAAATAATTGCTTTGTTCAGAAATTGAAAACACTATTACCATATTTTACAAAATAACACACAAAGAAGTAATTTCAAATTTTGGCTCAAATTAAGCCCAAATTTCAAAATAATATCTTTATATATTATTTTATGAAATATAGTATCCCTTAATATGTAGACCAACGCAGGCAAATTTGCCTGCGTTTTTGCACTTTTTTAGCTCTGATTTACTT